CAGTTTAAGAGAAGAGATTTATTTAAAAGTAGGCTGGAAATTGTCTCCAGGTTGGTTAAGTATGCTAATGGCATGGCAGTGGAAAAGCAGCATGATCCTCATTGCATTTTGACAGTTCTTTCTCTCATTTCTATAAAAGGCCATGACAAGAAAATAGCCATAACTGGCCTTTAGAAGATAAGTAACCAAAAGCGTTTATTAATTCGTGAGGACAAAAGGCAGGGAAAGAATGTTGACTTCATGCCAAGATAAGTAGAATTCATTACCAAAAACAAAACAAAAAAATTCTAAAAATGACCTGTGTATAAGAGTAGACATAGAATTTGAGGGTAAGAATCTGACTTAGAATTTTTGTTCCTCCTATAACAACGTAGTATAGTGTTTTGAATATAAGATGGACTCTGTCAGCATGTGTTGATTTTTAACTTTGACTTAAAAATAATAAATGTTCAGGATGAGTAAGAATAATCTCAAATATCACCTTAAGCAAAACCCTCGGCATGCTTCTATTAATAGTGGAATCACCTTTGATCTCTGATAGCATCAGTTAAGTAGTAGCTATTAAAACAAGAAATAAATGTTTGATAAATATGGTCAAAAACACATGGTTTTAATCTAGGAGAGTTTCCCTTATCTCCTTTGTACATCTAGCAGATACTGAACTCCTGATAAAACCCTGCAGCAACCCTGAGAAAACCCGACGGTAAACCCACATCACTCTAGGGAAGGGAAAGCTTATGCCCTAAGTGAGGGAAACATCACAGTTTCAGGCAACATCTAAGAAACCTGAGCCTTGGAAGGTGCATTTAAACTCAAAAAAAGAGGTTGTGCCTTGTTCTTTTGTGTCTGGATTTTGAATACTTTGCCCACGTTTATGGCTGTGCTGACAGACAAAGGAAGAGATCCTCTACCAAGCAGAATTAAGCCAGGAACTGCACAGGAAAACAATCTCATAGGGATTATTTTAAGATATTAGTCTGGAGTGGTGGACTCCAAAGAGTGAACCATATCAAGTTATGTCGATGTTAGATGCAAATTACTCTCCACATTGTAATTTTCTTTGTTACACCCTGGCTTTCAATAAAGTCTTATGTCAATGTTCCTGCTCAGTCTCTCTTTTGCTGCCCATAATTAATAAAAAAGTTAATATGTCAATGCTTAGGCCAGGAGCTACATACTACGTGGCACCATGGAAATAACAAACATAATTAATGAGAGCCTCCAAGCTGTATCCCTGGGGTGAGTTAGTCCTCGCTACAAGACGCTCTCCTTCAACACAGACTATGGAGAATTAACAGTATGATGTCAGTCAAGAAGTCATTGGGTTTTCCTTACCAAGTCCTTATATAATTTCAGGCAAATCCTTTGAATCACAGAAAAATGTCAAAAAACTCTGCGTTCCAATTATAGGTTAAAAGTGTTTGAGGGACAGGAAGGATAGGGTAGGGAATAGAAAGGACACTGCTCTGGTTTGAATCTGTGTCCGTGCCCGAATCTCATGTTGAATTGTAATCCCAGTGTTTGAGGAGGGGCCAGGTTGGAGGTAATTGGATCATGGGGGCAGACTTCCCTGTTGCTGTTCCCGTGACAGTGAGTTCTCATGAGACCTGACTGTTTAAAAGTGTATGGCACATCCCCTCTCACTCTCTTGCTCTTGCTGCAGCCATGTAAGATGTGACTCTTTCCTCTTTGCCTTCCACCATGATCTTAAGTTTCCTAAGGTCTCCCGAGCTATGCTTCCTGTACAATCTGCAGAACTGTGAGCCAATTAAACCTCTTTTCTCTATAAATTATCCAGTCTCAGACAGTTCTTTATAGCAATGCGGAAACAGCCTAATATGGACATTGAGATTTATTAGACACCTTCTACACACCATGCACAGTCCTGGGCTCTACACAGGTTGTTTTACCTAACCTTCACAATAACCCTGGCAATGCCAACATTGTTATTCACATGGTACAATGAGAAAACTAAAAGGCATAGAAAGTTAATTAATTGTCTGAAATATGGGTCAGGTCCAGAATTCAAATCTAGTTCAGCATACTCCAAATCCAAAGCTCTCTTCTTGACTTTTTTAAAGATGATGAATCCTCAAAATGAACTTACGAGGCTAATTTATATTCTTGAAATGTAAAAAAAAAAAAAAAAAAAGTAAGATAACTTACCATTTAAGGTCACCCACAATCTAAGTCAGGGGCATCCATGCTATTTGTTCCTTGGTGATCATGACCCCATTTGAAACACTAGTTAACAAATAGAGCTGGGGAAACAGACACTGAGGAAAGTGAGGCCTATGTTCAAGCATTTGAAGAACTTGAATATCCTGTGTGTGCAGGAGATTCACACTAAGAACTAGATATTCTGTGTGTGTAGAGGCAAACTTGGATGCCTCTATTCCACCACCCATGGAACAGATTGCATCACAAAATGGGGACGTGGTTTCCCCACCATCAGAGACTTTCCACTCAAGATCAGGAGTAACACCATAGGAAGTGGGTTCCAAGAAATCAGACAGGTATTCTATAAAATGATTAAGGTCAGCATTGCTGGGAGTGGAGAGTGAATCAAAATCATTATAGACTGCATCCAAGGGAATACTTAGGAAAACTTTTGTTCATTTTAAAGGATATAAAAAAGGGAAAATAAAGAATCATGAATCAATAATGAAAGTGATTGCTGGGGATGTGGGAGAAATGACAGAAGGATGGAAGATTCAAGGAAACAGTCATGCAAATAGTCATGGAAAGCACATCTTTACTAACCCTGAAAGAAAGCACAGGGCTAAACACTTCTCTATGGCATCAAATGTGTATTGTAAAGGCTCGTGTCATTGATTAAATAAGTAGATTTTTAACAAACGGTTGAAAGCCTAAATGATAATGTTCCTCTGAGTTGTGGTATTTGAGAATAAGAAAAAGAAAACATATTAACCTATTAAGTTGCATGTGAGGAAAGCTCCCCTGGAAAGGCCAAGATAAAAAGCTACTAGGTTGTTCGTCAAAACTACAGTGGATTCTGTGGAAGATGGTCATTGACTCCTTTGGATTCCTATGTAGGAAAGATTCCAGTTTGGGGTAAGGCACCTCAAAATAACCAAAAGCTGATGAGCTTAAAGGTGAGCACAGACCAAAAGAAAATGGTCGGAGGGTGGAAATCGGGCTATTAGGAGCTCTGCTATGGTTCCCTCATATCAGGCCTTCTGCAGGTTAAGTGTTAGGCTCATATTAGAAAATGTGAAAAGGAAATACTTACTTTAGCCTGTAGTCATGGTTGTTTCCTACAAGATCTACCAATTCCACTAAAAGTAATCACAGAGAAATCTGGAGACTCAATGATATAGCTCAGATGTTCATCCCCTCCAACTCTTATGTTGAAATATGACCGCCGATGTTGGAGGTGGGGCCTGGTGAGAGGTGTTTGGGTCATGGGGGCAGATTCTTCACACATGGCTTGGTGCCCTCTCCATGGTAATGAGTGAGTTCTCGCTCTGTTAGTTCATGTGAGAGTTAATTGTTAAAAAGAGTCTGGGATGTACCCCCTCTCTCTCTTGCTCCCTCTCTAGCACTGTGACACTGCCTGATTCCCCTTCGCCTTCTGCTGTGAGTGAAAGCTTCTTGAAGCTCTCCCCAGAGACAGATGCTGGTGCCATGCTTCTTATACAAACTACAGAATCACAAGCCAAATAAACCTCTTTTCTTTATAAATGCCCAACCTCGGGTATTCGTTTTTAGCAACATCAAATGGGCTACTACACTTAATTATTGGCAAAAAGAAAGAAATACTTAAATCTCAGTACACACTCACAGCTCATCGTATAGTATCTTTGATTTCATTTTTTTGGGAAGAAAAAGGAGAATCACAATTTGAAAAAACTCAAAACCAATTGGAGAAAACTGACTACAAACTGGAAAAAAAAAAGTCTTACAAAGTGTTTTGTCAATGAAATGCTACAGAACGCAATGAAGAGGGTGGAGAGATATTCAACGAGAATCAACAGTGGCCACTACATGCATGAAGTTAGGAGCGTTGAAAGGCAACCATCCCATTTCCTGCTTGACAATGTTTAACTAACTCCATGCACAGTATTAGTATTATCTTTAAAAGTAGAAAGTAGGCATGCGCTCCACCAGTAGGTGAGAAAGTTGAGTGACCACAGAAAGGTCACTTAACCTCTGTACATCAATTTACTCATCCATAAAATGAGAAATTGTTAAAAGAATAACCGATGATCTTTATGATTTAAGTCCTTTAATGAAGATTACTTTGGGAAGATTACTTCTGGAACCACGTGTGACACTCAGTTTTAGAGATTCTAAACAATAAGAAAAAAAAGTATATAGTCTAAAGCACCCAAGTATTTTCAATGTGACTGCTTACTTGAAAAAAAAAAATGACTTTAGTAGCTGTAGCAAAGATTGTCAGCATGGAACACTATGCAGCCATAAAAAAGGATGAGTTCATGTCCTTTGCAGGGACATGGATGAGGCTGGAAACCATCATTCTCAGCAAACTGTCACAAGAACAGAAAACCAAACACTGCATGTTCTTACTTATAAGTGGGAGTTGAACAATGAGAACACATGGACAAGGGAGGGGAACATCACACACCAGGGCCTGTCGGGGGATGGAGGGCCAGGGGAGGGATACCATTAGGAGAAATATCTAATGTAGGTGATGGGTTGATGGGTGCAGCAAACCACGATGGCACATGTATACCTATGTAACAAACCTGCACGTTCTGCACATGTACCCCAGAACTTAGAGTATAATCATAAAAAAAAAAAGAATAAATGACTCATCTCAACGAAACTCTCTTGAAGCTGCTAAGTTCTCCAATTTTAGTTCAATCGGAATTCCTCTATCTCTGAATAAGTGGTGCTGGTGGTGAAGGAAAGAAGTATGAAGATGTCTGTTAACTGTGGAGATGGCCCAAAACAACATAAAGCTGTCCTTATCATAGTTGAACTTCAAAGGTTTTTGCTTTAGTTTTTTTTTTTTTTTTTTTTTTTTTGGCTTTTGGTATTTTTTTTTCTGTGTACAATTTCTATATAGATAATAAATCTCAGATAACTGTTGATGAACAGTTTTGTAATAATTTGGATAAAAGAATGAGGTAATTCTACAGTGAGGAGAGTCAACAGAGGAAATATATTCTAATGGACCTGTTTCTAGCCTGACCTGAATTTTTATTCTGATGTTACTTACTCAATATGGAACCTTGGACAAATTATTCCTCTTTTTTGGTCTCTATTTCCTTATTCTTAATATGAGATTAGCCAGATGATTGCTAAGGTCTCTTTCTACTCTAAAATTCTATGACTCTAAATATAGAGCTCACCAATATCATATTACTTAAACAAAACAAAGTAGGAAGCATTTTCTGTTATCTTCCAAAGTAACTTCAGGGTAGTTAACTAAAGTGAAAAGAGCATTGGTTATCCTGCTTTCCCTAGGCCATTGGCTAGATTCCCTCAGTCCCCAGAACTAAACCTGACTCGTTATCTTGTGCCACAAAGCACTTCTCTATAACTGGATAAAGGCAATAATATTTAAAGCAAACATTTTTTCGAGTGCTTATTATTTACCAGGAACTGGTAAATATACATATAAAGTCTAAGCACTTTATATGTATCAACTTATTATCACAACCACCCTATTACATTGGTATAATTGTCAACATGTAAACAGAGGAACAAAAAAAAAGTAACATGCTTAAGGTTATACAGCTACCAAAGGGAATGACCATGATTTGAACTCAGCAAGTTTGGGTTCAGCCTCTTACTAATGGATGAATCACCTTTCAGTTCTGTGGTCCCAGTGTAGTGGGGAAGGAAGGGTGCTAGTTCTGGTGCTAGTGATGGCTATGATAGCTCTTCTTTTTTGTTCTCTATGAAAAGAAAGCACGTGGCTGGGCAGGGTGGGAAAACCCGATGTGAATGAAAATCTTCTAAGTAAGCCTTGACACTGACAGCTCCGTGAGTTTATCATCCTAACTGAGCCCTATAATCGCACAGCATCTCATGTCCACTTCCTCGAAAATTGTGGGTAAGACTTAATCCTGCTTCTGAAGCAGAATCAGGCCTAAATGTGTGGCTCACTAATTTTCTTCTTTGTTAGAGAGCCCCCTGTTGCATAATTTGTGTAATGAAAGTATGTATAGTTTTGCTAACCAATTCTCCTGGAGCCACTAAAATGTGTGAGTGTTTTTAGAAATTATATGGGCAATATGCATAAAATACCAACCTCTGATTCTCCTTTTGGAGTATTCAATCTTAGGGAGCCATTTTCTAAGTAGGAATCTAGAAGAGCAACTTCACACAGCATTAAGTCGCTAAGTTCTCGGGTTTTTCATTCTCATGTATAACTGCTGTTAGCTTATTGAGAGAGCCTGGGCAAATAGCTTAAACTTTTTGTTTCTTAAGATCATTTCCAAAATGAATACAGCAGACTCTCATCATAAAGACTTAGATGCAAAGATTTAGATATGGAATCACCACATACAATACTTGAAATGGAAAGAACTTTAAGAATTATTCAGGCTTATGCCCTCATTTTAAAGATTATGAAATTGAAGACTGAGAAAGGTGCAATATGCTTTAGGTCACACAGTTCTTGGTAGCTTAAGCGGAAATACAGCTTAGGCTCCTGATTCTAGGATCAGTGGTTTCTCTGGTATAAGGTTTAATTTTTCTATTAAAGACTACATTTTAGGCTTCTTAAAAAAGTTCTAACAAAAACTAGTATGTACAAAATGACAGTTTATAGAAGCTTCCCATTCAAGCCTCACAACCACTCAGTAAGACAGTTACTTATTATTATCAACATTCACTATATGCCTAATTTATAGCTGCATAAGCAGAAGCTCAGGCTGCTGAGGAAGTGGCCTAAGGTTGCATTAGCATTCTAGTTCTGATCTTTGAAATTTGAAATTCATTTTCTTCTTCGGACCTTTACTTCACCCTGCCCTCTTTAAATTTGTTTCAGGTAAGATCAAATGAATTATAAAATCTTCAAAAAAGTGACTATTAATGCTTTCCCCAAAATGTCCCCAATTAGTTAAACATTTCTTCACTGGCCACTTCCCCAGATCCTGTTCATCTGACATCTATTTTCAAATAAAACAGTATTCTTTAGAACAGTAGGAATTTCTCACACTGGTTTACTGCATAGGATAAGAGAGTCATAATTATTTTTGTAACCATAGAAGCATCATCAAAATACAGAATTATTTGTAATGCTAATGAGAATTTTCTTCACCAGGTAGTGCTGTTTGCAAAACATCTGGTGTACCATGCCAAAAATACATAGCAGCTGAAAGGCAGGATGCAAACTTTGCCTCAGGATCTTCTCCACCAGGTAATTTCAAGACAGGCATTGTCTTTAATATATGTTTTAGATGTTGCAGCATCTGATAGTCACATAACTAATTTCTTTAATTAGTTCACCCCTTGTGCATCTTGGCTTCAAGGATTCAATTAAACACAAAACTTGCAACTTGGTGCTAGAGTATTCATTAACCTGCAAGTTATCTTTTAAAACAACTATAGTCTAGGGAAAACTTCACGAAGATAAGAATTTGCCTTTGTCCTGAATATATATAATTTGAATCACATGCCAAAGGAAGAGAGTCTGTAAACAGCAATGTTTATTCTTAGCAATAATTTGCCTTACACACACACAGAGACATACACACACAAACACACACACATATCTTTACATCTTACCAATTTCTTTATTTACTAATATAAAACTTTGCAATAGACCATGTTTTTTATCCCTTCACCAGTCTTCTTGCCTCAGCACTGTATAATTTTATGCATATACAATATACATATATATGCATAAAATATGATACATACTACATACAAGATGCATACAAGGTGAGTTATCCTGTATATACATATTTGTTGTTTTATATGTATATTGCATATATGTGTGTATAAAATTTTAAAATGCTACGGTAAGAACTAGTGAAGGAGAAGAAGAAAAGCGGTCTCTTGCCAACTTTTTCTACCAAAGCATTTATGTGCTTTTCCTTTTACATCCATCCCTCAGTCATTGGGCACCTACCACATGCCAAACTGCTGATCACATAAGAGACATAAAGAAATAAAATATAATTTCTCTCCTTAGAGCGTACTGTCTAGTGGATGGACCTGGTATTTTATGTAGTAACAGAATGAAGCACACACAAATGAAAGGTAGGCTCTGTGCTGAGATGTTCAGGAGAGAAGGACACTCTTCTCAATTAGAAGGGTCCTTACAAGGTTTCACCATGGAGTGACATGAGAACTGCTCACTTAAGGAAAAGTGGGATGCAGTCTCCCAGGAATAAGTCTGAGAAAGGCCTTCTAAACAGACAGGAAAGGAAAAGCACAAAGGTGCTTCCGCAAACATCAAGGTTATGTCAGTCTGTGGATGTCCTCCAGGGCAGGGACCCTATGTGTCTTACTATCATTTTTCATGTGTCAAACTCATGATTAATAAAATTAAATCAATCAAACAAAACAGTAAATGAATGAACAGTGTTTGGAGAGTGTTAACAGTTTATTAGGTCGAGAAAATAAGACGTGTGGAGATAAATGATAGAAATCATAACAAATCACTAGCGAATAGAATGCATTGCTATGGAATTTGTGCCTCATCTTAGAGGCAACAGAGAGCTATTGAAAGTTTTTTAAGAGAACTGTGATACAATTTAATCTATACAGTCAAGTACTATTGTAGTTTTTAATGAAAGTAATTGGGTTAAATGTGGTACAACAGAGTAGTAATCAGATTCATTCATTACATTAAAGTTAAATAATATTAAACTAAATTTCAATACATTAAACTTATATGGGGATGAAACTGTCTTACTACAACTTTCTTAAATGGATATAAATAGCACGGGAGACAAAGCTCCAAGAGACCAAGTTCACAGGTGTTACACTTACTCTCACCAAGTTTATACCTCTTTACAAATGTTATTGAAAAGTTATCTGTTTCCACAAGTAGAAAAACACATATAAATATCCACAAACTCTCCCGTGGCTATACATAACACACAGCATGGGACTAGTAGTGTAAGACCTGGATTTGGTGTTGCTATTGCCATTAACTTGGTCTAAGATCCTGGGTTCTTCCTCCCCTTGCTAGGCTCCAGTTCCCTAATCTATAAAAGGAGGGAGGAAATGGTGCCCTCCATGGTCTGGTTTAGCACTGATCATCTGTGATTCCAGCGAGGTCTCTGGAATGGCCTCTGTTAGTCTCCATACTTAGCACAGCAGAGGGCTAGGGAGTGATGAGCCTCATAGTATTATCAGAGGGAAAAATATCACATCCTTTTCTTTACTCATCTAAAATTGAACAAATACAGGTATAAAGTGAAAAATGAGGCAGGAAGCTACAAGGGAACACTGCATGATGTTTAATGCTACTTTTGAAAATATATTAGGCTTCAAATTTGGAAATCTGTGTAGCTCTTCAAACAGATGTTATATTCTACCCTAGAGATGACCCCATTTTAGATGATGGCAATCCACTATGTATAATAATATTCTTCATCAACTTCCTAAATTACTTGAGAGTTGTAGGAGATAAAAAGTGTAATACAAAAGAAAGATGGTGACACCCCAGTAACTATATTAAGAGCTAGAGAGACTGTGAGCACATTTACTTTTATCCTTAGCTATGTTTGAAAGAGAGACGCTTACATAAGTAGTATCAGGATTTAAAAGAACCAACTGTCTCAAGAGTAGAAGAGTGTTTGACTTGTAATCAGAATCCTGATTTTAAATTTTAATTATTTAAGTAAATAACTGTAGAAATGTAGGTTACTTACTAATTTACTGTTTCTCAGTTTGGTAGTCATCTTTGAAATAGAAATAAAAATAGTTACTGATATGATTATTTTGAGCTACACAAAAATACATTATAGTAATTACTTGGCATGGTTTATGGCACATAGTATGTGCTGAGTAAATGCTAGCTTTTTTTCCTTGGACTTTTCAATAACATTTGTAGAGCACTATAAGAGTAGAAGAGTGTAGGCTGGGTGCGGTGGCTCACACCTGTAATCCCAGAACTTTGGGAGGCCGAGGCAGGTGGATCACGAGGTCAGGAGTCTGAGGCCAGCCTGACCAACGTGGTGAAACCTGGTCTGTACTAAAAATACAAAAATTAGCCAGACGTGGTGGCGAGCGCCTGTAATCCCAGCTACTCAGGAGGCTGAGGCAAGAGAATCACTTGAACCCGGGAGGTGGAGGTTGCAGTGAGCTGAGATTGCCACTGCACTTCAGCCTGGGTGACAGAACAGGACTCCGTCTCAGGAAAAAAAAAAAAAAAGAGTAGAGTTAGAAAAGTGTAAGTTGTTTAACACTTTCTCATGATGTATGTAGTAGTGCCAAACATACTCTAGGTTCTCAGTGAACCTAAAACACAGATAAATTTTTAAATTAGCATGAACATTTCAATTTGTAATTTGCATTATCTGGATAGGACAATCTGATGTTAATTCTAATCAATATGGTAGGCATTTACTTCGTTTGGTAAATAAATACAAATAGCGGTAGAGTGGTTTTTACATCATTTCATTTACTGCCCAGCAGTATGTTTCTGGGAAGATGTGTAAAGAGAACAATTTTTCAAGAGGAGATACTGAGAGGCTCTTGAAGTGCATTCCCTGGTACCGTTCTGACAGAGCATCAATGTCACTAAGACTTGGCAGCAGGGAGCAGGACTCGACTGTGTGACTTCCAAGAAACACAGAGAGAACCACTTACTGCAGCCACCAGCAGAGAAGTAGGTATGGAGGACACAGCCTCTTCTCATGCCTGCTGGCATCTGAAACAATATCCCTCTTGATTTTGTGTTTGCTTAGATCAGAGTGCAGACTCCAGGCACTAAGGTAACCTGCCACTGAGAATGTCTTAGAACTTCAACTGTGCTTTGCCAACCAAAACCAAAGGATGTGAATATTGTGTAGCAAGTTGTGTCAGGTAGAAAATGCTTTTCTTATTCAAGCCCTTCAAGATCTTTCTCAATTGCAAGTTTCTTGTGGTCTCCTAACAGGATTCCCCTCTGCCACCCAAGTCTGAATGTCAAAAGCACTTTCTGGTTTTGCCATAGGAAAGGCAGTTTTCTACCTTGCATTATATTGATTTGTGTCCATCTCCTCTACTTGACTATGATTTCCTAGAAGGCAGGGAGTCTAACTTCCTCCTTTTAGAAACATTCAGTTTAATTAAAGGTGTGTTAGAGGGACGAGTCAAGAGAGGAAGAAGGGAAGGGGGAAACAGTTCACATGTATGAAAATAAGAGAAATAAATTACTATGTCCGAAAGCAGCCACTCTAATAATGATGTTGATTTTTATACTCCTGGCTTGTCAAACAGATAATTCAGAGAAGTTTCCATTTGAAAAATTAAATAGAGTATCTGGGTCTTAAAAAATAAAAAAGAAAAAACACTGCTTGGGATGTTATTAATATATAAGTGATCTAAAACTTGACAGTGACTCTTCTCTTGGATTCTCACAATTGGGCGATGCTTCAGAAGATGGTAGAAGGAAGTCCAAATCTGGGCATAATCCCATACTTCCCGAGACTGGAGACAATGTCAGATTTTGAAACAGTAAAATATGAGAAAAAAACTATATATTTTACAAACTAACAGAAGGAAGGAGGGATTTTATGAATCAATTATTCCAGCACCTTAACTTTAGATGAAGGATATGAGGTTGTTCCTTCAAGTATTTCATATGCTTTGAAAGCTCTGTAAGTCTGCACATGGTAATCCTTCTGTCTAGAATTACTTCTCCTGTGTTTGACCCAACTCCATTGCCGTCTTTTCCTTGAAACCTTCTCTCATTCCTCCAGTCAGTTTATTCATCCTTCTTAAAGACCCGTGGATCACTTTTATGTACTTTTATTTATACACTGATATATGTTGGCTTTCTCAATTAGATCATGAATTTATTCTGGGCAAAAACTATGTTTACCCTACTCACCCCAAACACCTAGCACAATGCCTCAAAAAAAAAAAAAAGAGTACTTCACAAATTAATATTGAGTTGAAATATCTAAGTTCACCGGAAGAGATGAGGGAAGAGGACAGCATCAACTTACCTCTTCATGAAGCTTAAGACCTCTGCTCTTGTTTATAACAGCCATCACAGATTAATAATTTTAAACTGTAAAGCACACTGGCACCACTTAAAGACTGCCTTGTGAAGGATCACTCAGAGAACAAGCTATATTTTGATGGAATGGAAGGAGGAGCTTGTCTTCTACACTACAGTATTTTGGAAAAAGAAGTGGACTGAGAAAAATGCAGTCCTTTCTTTCTTTTCCTAACTCTCCCCCTTTTTTCTCTTCTTTCTCCTTGTCTTCCTTTATATGCTCCTCCAGTTTCTCCTTTGCATAAAGTATTGATAGTCATTATCTTAAAAATATTACAAAATCTCTCTGCTTTCTACATGCATTACTCCTTCTCTAGAACTGTGTGCCTGTACTTTACCCAAAAGGCCAAGTGTACTTCGTGACGACTGCCATGAAAAATAAGAAAAAAGAAAATCTGGTTAGATATTGATGCATTTTTGTTTAAACCACAATGTATGTTACTTTTCATGAGGGTTGGATTACATATTGGTGTTTGTTTGTCTTTGCAAATGAGGTCAAGTGGATAATAATATTTTTGAATTTGAGAAGATATCTTTTAATGCCATTCTGAAAAAAAAAATGCAGCTAGTGTATTTTGCTAGAAAAGACTATCAAGGAAGAAAATGAGGTAAAAGGCCCTTAAGATATGTTTTGCAACAAACAAACAAATATACTTCTGTATAGATAGACCAGATGCTTTCTTCAAAGCCACATAGAGTAGATTTTCAATGGTAATAAAATGATTGTCTCTGTTGCCACTATTCTATTTTAGTTAAATAGCATTAGCAATTTTAAGATAAGCTCATTTTGGAAGTATTATAATTACCTTAAGAATTTGGCCTTCTCTTTGCTTGCATATGTTCATAGCAGCATATTCACAATAGCCAGAAAGTGGAAGCAACTCAAATGTCCATTGATGGATAAATCAATAAACCAAATGTGTGTGGTATGTACAAACAATGGAACATTATTCAGCCTTAAAAAAAAAAGAGGGGAGAGAATTCTGTCACCATGGATGAACTTGAGGGCATTATGCCACATGAAATAAACCAGCCACAAAAAGGCAAATGCTCTATTATTCTTCCTGTATGAGGCATTTAAAGCATCAGATCCACAGCAGAATAAAGTAGGGTGGTGGTTTCCAGGAGCTGGATAAGGGAAAAATGGGGAGTTGTTGTTCAGTGGGTAGAGTTTCAGTTCTGCAAGATGAAAAAGTTTTGGAGATCCATTGCACAACAGGGTACTTAATACTACTAAACTGTACACTAAAAATAGTGAAGATGGTAAAGTTCATCTGTGTTATCTCAATTAAAAATAAAAAACTGGATCTTCTTTGAAACAAAATGCCTGCAATTATTTCAACCTCATCCCTGCCATTTAGTTTTTGATTCCCACTCTCTAAATAGTTACTACACAATGTACAAATATTTCTCAAAGTAATAAGCAAGTTGGCTAGAAGACATTCAATTCATTTATTGGGGTCCTATTATGCATAAAGTAATGAGTTTGGCCCTGAGATGAAAGGGGGAATGAGGGAAGGCATTTCACCACCATCAAGAGGGTAGTGCTGGATAGGTCTTAGTGAGCACAGGTAGGGAAGGACATACTCCTATTGATACTGAATACAGCAGCCTGCTTCTGTACTATAACCAGTATATTAGGAGCATAATTGTTATCTGAATTTCTCGACCTTTGAGTTTTTCAAACAATTGGGTCTATGCTCAATATCAACAATTTTTAAATTCCACTGAACTCTTCTCTATTTCAAGAGATACCTGAGGTTTCATGTTAACCTCAAGTCACAATGGAGTCCACCCACTTCCCCCAAGCACCAGATATTATTTTGAAGATATCTTGTAAGCCAAGGAATGAAGGAACAGATGATATGAGTTATCTTGAGAACTCCAACATAAATGAGATCTGAATGGCGACATTACTTGGATCATTCTAACAAAGGCAAAAACGGCCTTTACCACCCACAGTGAATCTCAGAGATAAGCTCGCCCTACTTACACAGGAGCTGGGTTCTGAAAAGAGAAACTTCAGTGGTGCCTGTAAGCAGTTGTAGGTGAAACCTTTCAATTTACAGTTTGTATCAGGTTGATTTTCTTGGAAATCAAAATAGAAAGGAGCTGATTAGATCCTAGCTAAAGGGGAGAAACAAAATAGCTGGAGTCCCTGATGGTAAAGCTGTATTAAAAAGAAAACGTGTGAAGGAGAATTTAAAAAGCATATAGCACTTTATTCTTGTATTTCTATTGCCAATGTGACTAGAAAACTAAAGAAAACCAAGAGACTCCTTTTATACTGTGATTCTACTTCCTGTAATGAAAAATGACAGGGAGAAATGGAAAATCAGTTCAAAATTCAAAACCGGCTCAACGGAAAACAATTCTGATAGAATCACAGAATCCTGGGGTTGGAAGGTCAAGTTGCCCAACTCAAGTACCAAGTGTTTCTCCAATGATGACTTGTATTATCATAAAGTGTAAAATAGACTTGTATCTAGACTTCGACTTACATAAGCCTTCTATTATCTAGAAATGTTTTTGAAATACTAAACTCAGCATGTCAAATCAGCCTAACTTGTCCCATTGCTTATCAAATAACAGCTGGGATAACAGCATTAACCTTCACCAGGTCATTAAACAGGAAAAACAGGGCATCCTCTCTGATATAGCCTCTCCTTCATGTACCCTAACCACAGCACACATGTATCAATACACATGTATATTATGCTATTTCCACATGTCTTTTTGTCGTCTTTTTTCTATTCCCACTGGTAACCCTTTATCTAGGCATTCCATCCCCTCTCACCTGGGCAGCACCACATACGTCAGGTCTGCTTACCTGTGGCACCTCCCTCTTAATTCCCATTCTTCAAGGGACTTATTTCAACAACCGTCTTTCAATGTTTACTGACACCAGTTATGTACCAGGAGCTGTCCTAAGTGCTAACAAAGACATGAAAATGAATGATGACTTTTGCCTTTAAGTAGCTGAGAGTCTAATAGAGGTAACGGAACCTAATAAATAATTGTACCACAGGGCACATTTGAACCAAATGCAATCCTGTTCAAAGTGTTGTGGGAGTATTGATTCATATGAAGCAAGGAATGACAGTAAAGCCAGACCTTAAAGAATAAGAGACATTATAAAAATACAACTTAAAATGAGCTTTTCTCTTCCCATGTTTTCAAAACGTAAGACCATAACTGGCTAGGCACATTGGGGTAGGTATGGTACGTGAGAGGTAAGACATGTTCAGCTATTTTCAAAGAAAATTTGGAATATGTAAGAGAAATTGTGAAAAGGTAACAACCAAAATAATTTTTAAGTAGAAGAGGTAAAAAGTATGCTATTTACATGAAGAAACATGGAACAGTTTTTAAAAATCATATTAGCAAATAAAATAAAATAGGGGAATAAAATATAGTATGAGAAAATGCGGAATGCAAAACTATATAATACATATAATCTCAATTTCATTTAAAATTGTATATTGCACATATGTATGACAACTTATATATGAGTACATATAAGAAGTATGTTATGTAGATGTGTATAGAGGAAATATGCACTTATACAAATACATAAAGAATGGATGTGCACACTGCAAATATCCACACTGCTTCTCCCTATTTGGTGATTTATGAAAGATTAAAATTTTCTTCTTTGTATTTTTGTGTATTTTCTACATTTTCTATAATGCAGATTTTACAGTTGTAAAATAGGGTTTACAATGATAACCAAAAACTCATTTCTCCAACGTACACTTGGATAAACAAATAATAATATGTAAGAAGACAAAGCAAGTCTATGCAGAGAAGCTTCTGGACAAGTGAGCACGAAAATGCGTGGTATATGAAGGGGATGTTGTTAAGGTCTATAGCAGCAGAAGCAGCTAGTGAATTACTGCTAACATTAATTTTTTAAGTTTCCACTAGAATACTGGTTTTTTGGTTCCGTTTTTTGTTTGTTGTTTTTGAGACAGGGTCTCACTCTCACGCTCAGGCTGGAGTTCAGTGGTGCAATCTCGGCTCACTGCAACCTCCACCTCCCAGGCTCCAGTGATCCTCCCACCCCTGCCTCCCAGGTAGCTAGAACTTCAGGGGTGTGCTACCATGCATGGCTAATTTTTAAATTTTTTGTAGAGATGGTGTCTCCCTAGGTTTCCCAGACTGGTCTTGAACACCTGGGCTCAAGCAATCCTCCCACCTCAGCCTCCCAAAGTGTTGGGATTACAGGTATGAGCTACCACACCGGGCCTCCATGGAATTTTAAGAATGTCTATTCTAATCAAAGAATGGCAGGCCGTGGTAATAATAAGAGGGTCAAGATTCCCATCTTTATGGTACATCACTGTGAAACATACTCTCAGAGGTGAAAAATTGCCAGGGGAAAATGTTAATCCCTACTCAGGAATCCACAAGAAGATCCCTCAAAGATCAACATCATCCAATAAATCTCTCCAACTTCCCTGAGATAACCTTCACTCTCCTCGTGCTTTTGTAGCACCCTGCATAGCCCTGTGTTAGCCTATAAAACTTGGGTTGTAATAATTGCAGTTTATAATATTGTCTCTCAATTATTTCATTTGATCCTCACAGGTGTCCTTACAAGTATTACAGATGAGAGAAACTGAGAGCAAGAAAGTTGACGTCATTGGTAAATGGAGGCACGGATGCTCAAGTCTCCAGATTCTTATTCAGTGATCTGTCTACTCTACCATGAGGATTCTTATATAAATTATTGTTTAGAACATCTTCCTTATTAATTTTTATTTTATCCACTGCTTTTCATATGGGAAACACAGGAAATATTTCATGAATTAAACTGAAATTTTAAAGATGGACAACTTGAAACTTTGTTGAGAAAGAAGCCTAACATTTAAACTGTACCATATGAATTGCACTGATTAAACGGGCACATTATGTTTGTAAGATCCTATCCCTTACGAGCGTCAGGACGCATCACAAGGTGATTGTATATTCCATTTGACCTGATGTGGTCAGAGAGGTCATTAAATGCTCTTCTCTGCAGACAGACAATCAATTCCTGAGGCCAGGTGGTATGTTAAAAAGACCAGACTGTCAAGTCAAATAGACACAGATTCAAATTTAGACTGAGCTTCTCTAACTCTGGGCAAATTTCTTGATTTCTCCAACATTAGGTTCTTACTTATGAAAAATGAGATAATCACAACTATCTCAAAATTATTCTAATAAATAAATAAACATAAGTGCATACTGTTGGTACTCAAAATAATATTGCCCTTCCCTTCTGTTGTACACAGAATTCTAAGATGGCCCCAAGAATCTCGTCCCCTAGAATGCACACCCTGTGTAATCCACTCCCCTTCGACATAAGTAGGACTATGAATATGATGAGATATCACTCTCTGGATTATGCTGTATAAGACCCGTCCTTAGCAGATCAGAGAGAGAGTCCTAATGGCCTTAAGGGAGAAATTGTCATGTTGTGAACTGCCTGTGGGAAGGGGCCATGGGGCAAGGTCCTGAGAGAAGCCTGTAGGAGCTGAGAAAGCATTACTGACATCTAGAAAAAAAAAAATAAAAAAAAAAAAAAAAAAAAAAAAAAAGGATGTCATTGAATTCTGCCAGCAGCCTGAATGAACTTGCAAGAGGACCTGAGCTCTATGTGAGAACCAAGAGCATGGAAAACACTTTGCAGCTTTGTGAGAACCTGAGCAGGGCACCCAGTTAAGCCGTGTCCAGGTTACTGGCCCACTGAAACTGAGCTATGAGCGTATGCTGTTTTAACTAACAATTTGTTATGCAGTACGAAAGAACTATTATACCTTCTCTAAATGAAATGAGTCAGGGTGGTCTGTAGCATTGGTGAACTCCCTGAGGGTACCATCTAATCTGATTTCCCACACAATTTCTAGGGAATGGTACCCGTCAGATCATCAAACGTGATCAATCTGAGAATCCAGCTGTCATCAATCTTCTCCCACCCCTCGCTCCAACGCACACGTATGTTCTATCCAGGGAATTCCTAGAAAGGGCATTGATTCATCATTCTTAGATTCATTCTTTTTGAGAGCACCTCAGGGGCCCTAGCACCCTAGTCATTGTGCTGAGAAGACAGAATCACAGTACTTTAGATACAGAATGGTCCTTAAAGATATTTGGCAGTAATCTTGTCCTGATCCTCATTTTAGATGAAAACAGGCCCCAAGTGTCCTCTTTCACCTCTTACAAATAGTCAACTGCAGAAGGACAAACAAGTTTTGTGTGGCCTGAAGCTTAGGTAATTTGGGAAACTCTCCTTAAAGAAAATAATACAAAATTATGAATATCAAATTACTTACCAGGTAAACATTTACTAAATGTAAGAAAAAGAATTTAGACCAAATCGCACATTTGAACAATTAACATCACAAAATTCAGACACAGCTTTAATACCTTTTCTTTACCATTTTTGTCTGTAAATGTTTTCATCCTATAACACAAATGTTACAATATTTTCTATAAAATAGATGATCAACCTTGCCTCCAAGGTGACTAACTTATTTTTAATTGTGAAAACTTAAGAATTGTTAAATTCAAGTTTACCACTCATTATTGCTAGCATCATGTAAATATTGAGGACTAGCATCAAATTTGATTTTAAAACAAACTCAATTTCCTTGGTTTCTCAAATATTTCACATACGAGCTATGAAACGTGGAAGAATTTTCCACGATTGATTCCTGTGCACTTCGCCTCTCCATGGGGTGCGTTCACAGCACGATTCAATCTCTTGCCATGCAGTTTTGTGTCCTGCCCCACACTGAGTCAGCACAGTGGGCAACTGCAGTATTTCTGGCTATTCTGACATCAGGAGGGCTGGCAATGACTTACTAGCAAGTGACTGTAAACATAAATGACAATCCTACCAAAACCAAGCTAATGTATCCCCAACTCAATTTCTTCTCAGCCAGAGCCAAAACTGGCAATGACCACGCTACCACCCTTAAACAGAGGAAAACTGATCAATAGCCGAGTAGAAAAATGTAGCAACCTTAACCAATTGTAGAAAAAAAAAATTCTCACTTTTGCAAATTAAAAAAAAAAAAAGTGAACGCCCTCCGGGAGCCTGTGCCAGAACTTGGAAGAGGCTGGACAAGTGAGGAACTGTTGAAGCTGTGGCTTGGTTAGCCTCTGTTCAGGGGAAGTGAAAGACATCAGTACTTCCTTGAAAAACGGAGACAGATCAAGCTCTTTGTGGAATAGGAAAAATAAGGCATGGAAAGGTTACATAACTGCCCAGTCTCATAGCCAGGAAAGTGTATAGGTAAAATTGAACTCGGGAAGCCTGAATCCTGCCTTCACACCTTTTACCAGTATGCTACACAGACTGCCATAGGAGCAAGCTAGAGACTGTGCATGTGTGTGGGCAGGCATATGTGCACATGTGTACATGTGCAGGTATACCTGTATGTGTGTCTGTGCATGGGTATATATCTGGCAGAAAGGAAAGGAAATAAGTGTTCTGTGATGAATCTTAATATGGAGTTGACTGTTTTGAGTTCTTGTTTGTTCTACTTGATTGTAGTTAGAGTCTTTAGGAATAAAATGGAGTCATAGAGTTGATTTTTTAGTACCATAAGGAGTACTTGTGCTACTCAAAATACAGTTTGACTCTGTTGTGGTTGCAAAGCCAGTCTCAAAGCGTTTCCCCCAGAATGCTGTTTGTTGGTTTAAAACCCCTATGATTGGGATATTTAAAAAAAAAAAAAAAAAACAAGAAAGATAATCTAACTCATGATGGCTTCTCTATCCATTTAATTGGGGTAGTAGTACTTTTATCCAACTGCTTTTCAGGTCTATGAGCATGTTTCTCAGTGGCGCAGTCTTAGCCATCGAAGGGTTTAAAGAGCATGGAAGAAAAAGTCAGGACAATTGGCTTTAGGTCCCATTTTCATAATTATTCCGTCTTTGACACTTTGGACAACTCCAGCTCCTGTCCCCGTCTTGGTCTCATTTTCCTCAACAGGATAAGTAATTTTACAGCTGCTCCAATGTTCTGTGATCTATAAAGCATAAAGTCTCTATTTTCTACTTTAAACTACAAATCAGAAAGCTTTAGAAGAACATTCAAGGCTGTGAAGTTGGGGGAATATTCTGGGTTTATCTCAGATCTTTTTCACTTAGTCCAACACTAGTTTAAAAAAAAAAAAAAAACTAACTTTATTTCTTCGAATGCTAAATGAAGGATGAATTTTTAATTACTGCTAAAGGAAATA